ACTAATCATCAGGGAAATGCAAATTAAAACCACTTTAAGATTTCACCTTACAGCATTCAGACTGGCTAAGTACAAGAAAAAAAATGATACCAAATGTTGGAGGTGATGAGGGGAAAGGGGAACATTCATCCACTGCTGGTGGGGCTGAAAACTGGTTCAACCCCTATGGAAAGCAGTGTGGAGAACTCTTAAAAAACTACACATTAACGTCCCATTTGACCCAGTTATACCACTTCTTGGCATATACCCAAAGAACTCGTCCTATTGCAGAGACACTTGTACACCCATTTTTGTTGCTGCTCTTTTCACAATAGCTAAGAGATGGAAGCAACTTGGGTTCCCTCAATTGATGAGTGGATAATGAAAATGTGGTTCATATATACGATGGAGTTTTAGTCAGAAGTAAGAGAGTATGAAATTATGAAATTTGCAGGTAAAAGGGATGGAGCTAGAGAGCGTTATACTAAGTGAAGTAACACAAATGCAGAAAAGCAAGAAACATGTTCTCCCTCATTTGTGGATTGTAGCACCAATCCCTTATATGTGAGTATATGAATTCTGATGTAACACCAGGAGCCAGGTAAAGGCAAAGGATACATGGAGGTAAAGGAAAAGAAACAACCTGAAAGGGGGATAGTAAGGAACAGATGTTACCTGAGGGAGGTGGGAAAGGTGGGAGCAATTAGCAGGAAGGAGAGGAGGGAGGCACATACCAGTGTCCACAGTATGGGGGAGGGAGGGAGGTCAGGAGAGGAAAGATGGTGGGAGTCAGGAGTTGGGAGGGATTGGGGAGAGGGTGGGGATAATGAGAGCACTGTGACTAGGGAGGGAGGGAGGGAGGAGGGAAGCCAGATGGGAGAAAAAAGAGCAGATGAATGAATGGGGGGGGGCTAAGAAACCTAGAGGGAAAAGTAATGCCCTAGAAGCCCTATGAGAAATGCACAGTGTCTGAACATTAATGCATATGTATACCTGGGAGCTGCTTGGCAGGGAACACAGTGCCAGATAGAAGAAGCCTCCCTTAGAGCGATAAGCATGCTGCACAACACTCATCAAAGAAGCTTCTTTTTGCAACAGATGGAGGCTATGCAGAGTTGAACATCTGGTCAGGCACAGAGAACATACACCTGGGAGATTCCCAGTACTAGGTGACACATCTACAGTTGAATCTCTACAACTAATGCTCATAGAACATAGCTGAATAACGGGCACAGAGAGGGCTAATGCATCTCTCAACTCTCACCAGTGAGGCTCCCATGTACATTAGAGTGCAATGCACACAGAAGGCCACATCTGGCCAAGTTTTGAAGAATAAGAGACTGTAGAGTGTAGGATGGAACCTCATCCACCCACGGCTCAGGGACCACTGTGGAAGAGGAGGTGGAATGATTGTAAGAGCTAGGGCTGGTTCATGACACAGCCTATGTGTTTGTACATTTGTGTATTTATCTCTCTAGGAGAAAGGGAAAGAATGATCTGATAGGGACATGGCTCTGTCTGTAAAGTGTCTGCTGTGCAAGATGAGGATCTGAGTTCAGATCCTCAGTGCCATGTAAAAGCTGGGCACAATGGCTGACCTGTGACTCCAACACTGGGGAGAGGGATATAGATACTTAGCTCTTGTCGACCAGCAAATGTGGCCAATTAATTAGCTCCCGCTCAGTGATAGGCTCTGTCTCAACAAATTAGATGTAACAAGATCAAAGAAGACACCTGACATGTATCACTGGCATCTGCACACACACACACACACACACACACACACACACACACACACACAAAGACATGACAGACATCATTGCAGATCTTTGCTAAGGAAGCAGGCCTTGTCTGAGATGGATTTTATAGTCACTGCCTGTGCTGCCAGTATGTTTCCTATAGTTACAAATAAGCCAAGAATTTCACAATTCATTAACGTCTTAAAATTTTTTTATTGAGGTTTTTTTATATTTCGCATAACAGTTCTTAATCGAGTTTAGACCCCACCCTCACCCATGCCCCTCACCCCTCCACGGGACCTCATGTATTCCATCATACACGTTAAGTCCTATCCAGTCAAGCATTTGTACCCAGAAGTCCTTTGGTAAAAATTCATCCACTAGAGTCTAGTCAGCCTATCTAGAGAGCGTAAGGAATTTCTATTCTCCCTCACCCAGTAGTAATCAGTTTCCAACAGCTCCCGGACTAGAGCCAGCCTACTGCCCATTTCCCTCGCTCCAATCTGGGCCCTTGTCTGATTGAGTTGGCGTGGGTCCTGTGCCACCACCGCTGCAAGTTCACATGTAAGCTTCGAGTGGCCTGAAAGCCTCTGCTTTCTTATTCACATGAACCAACCCTGGCTCTTACAACCTTTCCACCCCCTCTTTCACAGTGGTCCCTGAGCCGTGGGTTGGTGAGGTTTAATATAGGAGTCCTATCCAGGGACACATACTCTGCAGTCTCTTAGTCTTTAAACCGTAGCCAGTTGTGGCCTTTTGTGTGCATCACACTGTTGTATAAGGAAGCTTTACTGGTGAGAGCTGAGGGATGCTCTAGTTTTCGCTCTACCCCCCGTTCCTCTATGTTCCATGAGCCTTAGCTATAGAGATTCAACCTAGGACTGGGCATCTCTTAGATGTATATTCTCTGTATCTGACCAGTTGTGGGATTCTGAAGTAGCCTCCATTTATTGCAAAAAGCTTCTTTGATGAGTGGTGTACAGTATACTTGTCTGTAAATATAAGGATTCATATTTAACATATGTTAAGAAGTTTCATTTGTCTAGACAAATGACAGAGATAGGGTTTTCTCTAGGATCTATGTCCTCTCCAGTCACGTGTATTTGACTATTTTACAGTGCCATTCATGAGTTCCCTCTAGATAAAAGTGCCACCACTGCACCAGTAGTTTGCTATGCCAGCCATTATGGTTATTAGGCTTTAGAGCTGGGTTGCACCATTGATTGATTTTTCTCCCTTGGCAGCTTGCATAGTATCCTCTAGAACTATGAGAGCTAAACTCCAGGCAGAAGGCTTCCAGGTCAGTTCCTGCTCCATTGCTCCAAGTCCTGTGTCTGAAGAATATCCTGTCTTCAGCAGTAGGGTCTTATCTTCCAGTTCTGGGAGATAACCAAGAGCTCTGGTAACAGCCTGTATTATTTTGGGAGTCTCTTGGACTATTATGACCAACCACTCAAAGGGAGGTCTCTCCTTGCCATACAGCCCTCAGGTATACATATGCACTGATGTTCAGACACTGTATGTGTATTTCTGAGGGGGTTTTGGAAGCAACATGTTTCCCTCTGGCTTTCCTAGCCTCCCAAGATCCAGTCATCTCTACTCTCTCTCCTCCCCATCCAACCTTCCTCCCTCCTCAGTTCAAGTGCCCCCATTATCCCCCTCCTCTCCAATAACACCTACCTCCTACCATCTTCTCTCTCCTGATTTCTCCCCTTCCCCACCATGGTCCCCTGCATGTCCCTCCCTCCTCTCCTGACAGCCGAACACTGAGTTTGTCACTTCACTTAGTATAACACTAGTTCCATCCATTTACCTTCAAATGTCATAGTTTCATCTTTTCTTACAGCTGAGTAGAACTCCATTGTGTAAATGTACCACATTTTCATTATTCATTCATCAGTTGAGGGACATTTAGATTGTTTCCATTTCTTAGCTATTGTGAAGAGAGCAGCAACAAACATAGATGTACAGGTGTCTCTACGGTAAGATGAGTCCTTTGGGTATATGCCAAGGAGTGGTATAACTGGATCATAGGGTAGATTCATTTTTAGTTTTTTGGGAGTTCTCCACACTGATTTCCATAGTGGTTTCACGAGTTTGCATTCCCATCAGCAGTGAATGAGTGTTCCCCTTTCTCCAGATCCCCTCCAGTATTTGGTGTCTTTCGTTCTCCTGCTCTTAGCCAGTCTGACTGCGGTAAGATGGAATCTTAAAGTGTTTTTTATCTGCATTTCTCTAAATTACTGAAGATGTTGAGTACTTTTTAAGGTGTTTCTGATCCATTTAAAAATGTTTTATTAGTTTTATTTTGTGTGTATGAGTGTGTTGCCTGCATGTGTGTGAGTGCACCCATGTTGTGCAATGCCATGGAGGTCAGAAAGAGGGCATCGGATTCCCCTGGAACTGGAGTTAAAAAATGGTTCGTAGCTGCCATGTGGGTGCTGGGAATTGAACCCGGGTCCTCTGCAAGAGCAGTCAGTGCTCTTAAACGCTGAGCCATCTCTCCAGCCCCTTCTTATCCATTTAAAAAATATTTTATTTATTGTTTTTTAAAAATTATTTATTTAATAACCACATGATTAGAAGAAGCATTTCATTACAACATTAACATACACAATTACAATTTCCAGAGCAAAGATGCATCTCTTTCAATATTGGTTGTAAATTTTTAGGTTCACAGTTGAATTAATACAGTTATATAATATTGAACTCAGTATAAACCCTATAAGACATAAAATTGGATGAGGTTTTAACCTTTAAAAAAGATCTCCATTTCATCTTAAAATATACTGTTTCATACAGGAAAGCTCATTTTTAATGCTACTAACACTTGGATGTTTGCACATGTGTCTCTAATCTCTATGTATCTGATTATTACTAGTCATAGTCGGTTACTTTCTGAGATCCACCTGAGCATGGATATAAAATCATTGGGTAGATTTCAGTGGTAATGTGCTTCACCTCTACTAATTAACATGGAGAAAACTTTTATTTATTTTTTTTTGAGAGTGATCATTGCTTTGAATTCCTGTCAAGATTCCACATGCCAGGGGCCACATGGGCCAGAGACCCCCCCACCGACAGAATCCCCAGCTGCTCCCATGTACATGATCATTACAAAAATAAATATGAAAAAGCAGCAACTCTTTCATGATGGTGGAGTTGATCTGATGGTGATTAAATGTGTCTAAGCATCTGGCATGGCTCTTAAATTGCACCATAGAGATCTGGAAGCACTTGGTTTGGTCTGAGGCAAAATGGAGGTCCTGGAAGAGGCTGGCCTCACGTCTCAGAGTCAACATACATGCCATTGATAAGGTAGTCCACCTGTGTGTAATCCCTCTTCTTGTAGCTTTTGGAAACTTGCAGGGCAAACAACACCAGGACCATGATGAAGAGGGTCACCCCTAGTACAAGCACTACCAGGAGGAATGTTCTGTTCACTAAGGATGTGGTCAGGGGCTCAGTGGTGACCACTAAGTACTGGCCTTGGGTGCTGAGTTAGCACAAGTCTGTGGCTGGCACCTGAGGATCCTCTGAGCGCTTAGGTATGGGTCCAACAGAGGCAGTACCAGGTGTGGCTTTGGTCTCTATCCACTCTGGGGTCTGGGATGTACCTGGCCCACCAGTGCCCTGTGGAGGTGATGTAGGACTTGGCTGTGTGGTGGGGGCTGTGGACTCCACCTCAGGGGCTGGACTGATGGGAGGCACTGGTGTGCTGGCAGTTGGCTCCTTAGTTTGTGCCTGGGTGGTGGTCACCAGTGTGGTGGACACTGAAACCACAGAGGTGGTGCTGTTGGAGGGGCTGGGTGTGGACCTACCTGTTGTGCTTTGCACTGGCTGGTCCGATGTCACTTGAATGGTGGTACGTTGTGTTTGGGGCCCTGTGGTGGGTGTGGGTCCCATGGTGGGTGTGGGTCCCACGGTGGATATTGGTCCCACAGTGGGTTTGGGTCCCTCAGTGGGTATGGGTCCCATGGTGGGTATGGGTCCCGTGGTGGGTTTGGGCCCTGTGGTGGGTTTGGGGCTCATGGTGGAAATGTTAGTGGGTATGTTTTCCACAGGGCTCAGGGCACTTCTCGGGCTGCTCCTGTTTGTGGTAGTCTCAGCCATAGTCTGAACAGGTGGGCTTGCTGTTGCCACCACCACTGTTCTTGATGACATATTGACACCTGTACTTGGTACTTGTGCATGGAGTATGCTGAGGGAAGAAGGCCCAACAGTGGGCTAGGTGGGGTCTGTCCTGTGGATGTGGGGCCTCGCAATGTGGGTGGTACAGGAGTTCTGGGGGTGGCACTGTGTACTGTTGTTGCCAGAGTGGTCACATTCGTCCTGTGTATTATCACCTCTGTTGTGACTATGGTGGGGTTCAGGCTGGCTGTTGAAGTCCTTTTGGTCAATGTGACTGGAGCAAGTGTCACCATGGCTGTTTTCTGGCTGTTGTATTAGTGACTCTTTTAACTGCATCCTTGGGTATAGTTCTCTTGACTTTAGAGAACTGCGTATGGAGACACAGATGCCACCTGACTTCCAAATAAGGGCAATGAAGAAATCCAAAGCGGCATCAAGGCTGTCCACATCTTGGAGTGAGCTGGGAGCAGGGCTGCTAGTCCCTGAGCCTCCTGCAGGCCAGCCTATCAGGCTGTCAATGGTCCCCTTCGCTTGGCTCTGGGATCAGAGACAGCTGTTCAGTGCATGCTCGGAGGCCAGGCCATCGTCCTCCTTGGGAAGGAAGTGGAGCAGTGGGTTTGGCATTGTGTACTGGCCACACAAAGTCTGGCTTTACAGGTGAGCACAGCTTGGCGGGGCACTCCCAGGCTGTGGCATGTGTTGAGACACCTATAGGACAAAGGCAGATGCTCCTCTGTGGCGGCAGATGCATCCGGTAGCCACGGGCCCCTTGCACCGCAGCGCAGCCACCTCAGCCCTGCGCGGAGACGTGGCCTGGGCGCAGCCAGCTCAACCCAGCCAGGCAGCGGCTTGCCAGGCCCCTCCCGGACCAGAGAAAACTTTTTATGCCCTCTTCATCAAATATAACTCATTTGTAAAATTTGTTGTTTTTTTGTGTGTATTTCATACAGAACATCCCAAACAATCTCATAGCACACTCCCATAGTCGTCGTGTCCCCCCCACGTAATCCCTGTTACTGCCCACTGTGTTGTCAGTGCCCCCAGCCATTCCTCAGTCCTTGTCCATCTGCTGAATCTATTCCGCCTATCTAGAGTTCCTTGTTTTACAAAGATCAGCTCTTCCTCTTCTAGCAGCAAACAGTTGCCAATATTTCTTTAGATAAGATTGGGGTCTGCTGTTCATTTTCCAAGTTCTGTGCTGGGTTACTGTCTGAGAGTCTCTTGGGCCACCCTGGCTAACAACTCAAAGGAAGCTTTCTCTAGTCTGGCATTGTTTCTTGTTATGTAGCTTTTAGCTATACACGTGGACTCTTAAAGAATTATATTGATCCCTTTAATCTTTGGTTATATTTCCTTTTGGGTGTTTAAGGGCATACAGTTGGCCCAGATAAACCAATTTATTTTTATTCTTAAGGTGGTTTGAGGATCTGTTCCTCAGGGGGTCACATGGGCTTGGGAGGAGCCCCTGGCTCCTTTTACCAGTTCCGCCTATGTGAGGATAAGTCAAAGGTCCTACTCGATCATGGCTGGCTTCACTTGGAAGCATGGAGGAAATGATTCCTCTATGTTGACCCTCCTCTTTGTAGACTGGACTGGACACTGGTTCAAGTCCATTTGGTGGGGTCTCCATGGCCTCCTTGATCAAGAGTATAGGTAACCACAGTTACAGGACATTTTGAGAGATGCTCATAGTCTCTTGGAGCTTAGTCAACCTAGGAGGGCAAGGAGCAAAAACTGTTCATTATGTCCCTCTGACCAAATTAGTATATGCTTCAAAGTATGGCTGTTAAACATCTAAGGTTAGTTCCACCAGTCTGGTACTTTTAATTACCATGTGCTATGAAGATAAAGCTTGGGCAAAGACCAAACATTCTCAGATAAACCTTGACTAGACATGTATTATATCCCTTGAGCTAGTTGTATATATAATTTGTCAGTAGGTTATATTGATTAATATGGTTCCCTCTGGTTTTTTTAACCATCTCATCTCCTTTGTATTTATTTATTTTTTAATAACCACATGATTAGAAGAAGCATTTCATTACAGCTTTAACATATTCAATAACAGTTTCCAGAGAAAAGATACATCTCTTTCAAAAGTGGCTATAAATTTTTAGGTTCAGAGCTGAATTAATACAGTTATACAGTATTGAACTTAGTATAAACCCTATAAGACATAAAATTGAGTGAGGTTTTATCCTTTAAAAAAAGATCTCCATTTCATTTTAAAATATACTGTTTCCTACAGAAAGACTCATTTTTAATGCTACTAACACTTGGATGTTTGCACATACATCTTTAATCGCTATGTATCTGATTATTACTAGTCACAGTTGGTTATGCTCAGATTCTTGGCACCTGAATATAGGTATAAAGTCATCAGGCAGATTTCAGTGGTAATGTTTATCACCTTTACTAATTAACATGAAGTAAATTTTTATGCTTCTTCCTCGAATATAACTCATTTTTTATTTGTTGATTTTTTTTGGTGTGTATCTTATTCAACAATCTTATTCAGCTATATACCCACTTCCCAAATGTCACCCTCCCATAGCCTCCCCCCGACCCTGGAGCCCATATACTCTGTCATCCCTGTTACTGTCTACTGTGTTGTCGGTGCCCCCATCCATTCCCCAGTGCTTGTCCATCTGCTGAATCTAGTCAGCCTATCTAGAGTTCCTTGTTTTACGAAGATCAGCTGTTCCTCATCTAGCAGCAGTTGTCAATATTCCTTTACATAAAATTGGGGTCTGCTGTTCATTTTCCCAGTTCTATGCTAGGTTACTGTCTGGAGTCTCTTGGGTCACCCCGGACAACAACTCAAAGGAAGGTATCTCCTGTCTAGCATTGTTTCTTGTTATGTAGCCTTTAGCTATATATATGGACTCTTAGAAAATTATATTGACCCCTTTAATCTTTCCTTTTGGGTGTTTAAGTCCCTACAGCTGGCCCAGATAAGCCAAGTTATTTTTACTTTTAAGGCTATTTGAGGCTCTGTTCCTCAGGGGTCACATGGGCTTGAGAGGAGACCCTGGAACCCTTCTTTTATCAGCTCCATCTATGTGAAGATAAGTCAAAAGTCCTGCTTGACCATTGCTGACTTCTCTTGGAAGCATGGATGAAATGTTTCCTATGTGTTAACCCTCCTCTTTGTAGACTGGACATTGGTTCAAGTCCATTGGTGGGGTCTCCATGGCCTCCTTGATCAAGAGGACAGGTGACTCACTACAGTTACAGGACATTTTGAGAGATGCTTATCTCCAGAGAGTCCCCTGGAACTTATTCAACCTAGGAAGGCAAGGAGCAAAAACTGTCCTTTATGTCCCTCTGACCAAATTAGTATAGACCTCAAAGTATGACTGTTAAATATCCAAGAAGGTTAGTTCCACCAGTCTGGTACTTTTAATTACCATGTGACTTGTAGATAAAGGTTGGGCAAAGACCAAATGTTCTCAGATAAACCTTGTCTAGACATACATTCCTTGATCTAGTTGTATGTATAATTTGTCAGTAGGTTGTTGGACTAATATGGTTATGTCTGGTTTTTTTAAAACTAGCTAGGCATTATTTATCTCTCACATTGTCTAACACTTCCACTATGGTTTTCCCACTTAAGGTGCCCCCATTTCCCCCTTTCTCCTTTAATAATACCCCTCTCCTATGGTCTACCTCTCTTGAGCTCCTTCTTTCCCTTTATCCCCTAGGTTCCTTGTATACCCTTCCCTCCCCCCTCCCTTAAACCTTCACTCCCGACTCTTCTTAAAATAACCCCGTTTTTATCCATATCTCCCTTATTAATGCCTGTTTTCTACTGTTCTTCTCTTTCAGGTTCTTTCTTTTCCTTTACTTCCCTGGTTCCTTTTCATTATTCTGGTTCCTGTAGTTATGTCTGGATACATACTCACTTATCAGGATTTGGTGCTAGGATCCACATATGAGGGAGAATATATGTCGTTTTTTTCCCCTCTGAGTCTGTGTTACTTCACTTAGTATAACAGTTTCTAGTTCCATCCATTTACCTGCAAATTTCATGATTTCATCTTTCTTTACTGCTGAGTAAAACTCCATCGTATAAATGAACCACATTTTCATTATCTACTTGTCAGCTGAGGGACACTTGGCTTGCTTCCATAGCTATTGTGAAAAGAGCAGCTACGAACATGGATGTACAAGTGTCTCTGCAAATAGGATGAGTTCTTTGGGTATATGCCAAGGAGTGCTATAACTGGGCCAAATGGTAGGTTCATTTGTAGTTTTTTAAGAGTTCTCCACACTGCTTTCCATAGGGGTTGAACAAGTGTGCAGCCCCACCAGCAGTGGATGAGTGTTCCCCTTTCCCCACATCCTCTCCAACATTTGGTATCATTTGTTTTCTTTATCTTAGCCAGTCTGACTGGAGTAAGATGAAATCTTAAAGTGGTTTTAACTTGCATTTCCCTAATTACTAGTGATGTTGAACACCTTTTAAGATGCTTCTTAGCTGTCTTTATTTCTTCTTTTGAGAACTCTGTTCAGCTCCTTAGCCCATCTTTTAATTGGGTTACTTCCTTTCTTGATTTCTTGTTTTTTGAGTTCATTATATATTCTGGATGTTAAACCCTCTTTTGATGTACAGAAGGTTTTTAGTTTAATGAGATCCCATTTGTTGATTCTTGACCTTGTTTTCTGAGCAACTGATGTCTGGTTTAGAAAATCCTTTCCTACACCTATATCTTATAGGTTATTGCCAATGTTTTCTTCTAACAGTTTCAGAGTTTCAGGCTTCACATTGAGGTCTGTGATCCATTTGGAGTTGACTTTTGTGCAAGGTATAAGATAGGGGTTTAGCTTCATTCTTCTATAGGTGGAGATCCGGTTTTGCCAGCACCATTTGCTGAACATGCTGTGTTTCCTCCAGTGAATGTTCTTGGCCCCTTTGTCAAATATCAGGTGGCTGAAATTGCATGTACTCATATTTAGATCTTCAGTTTTTTCCATTGATCTACGGGTCTATTTTTGTGCCAGTATCATGTCGTTTTTATGACTATATCTCT